AGTTACTTGTTAGAAGATAACGGTGCATCTCGTATCTTTTCTGTAGAAAACAAGTGGGCGTGGCTACTTTAGGAGGATACCTTTACGCCATCGGAGGTTGTGATCACGGTCACAGGTATGACACAGTGGAGAGATACGATCCTGGCAAAGATGAGTGGGTGCCTGTGGCATCGATGAGTACTCCTCGCAGTGGATGTGGAGTAGGAGTCCTGGACGGCTTTATTTATGTGGTTGGAGGATACGATGGGACTTCGTATCTTAGTTCAGTTGAAAGGTAAGTTTGTTTGAGTAAGACTAGTTGACCAATTAATTGAATTTTTTTTATCTATAACATAAAACTTCCTGACGGCAAGCACGGATGATTTGAATAAAGTCAGGCGAAGTCCATTCTGAATTGAAAATATAAAGCTTTGATAGTTTGTTACTAATCTATTCATGAAGGAAGTAACCACGCATAGAGAGAATTACCACGCTCAGCTCTAGTTCTATTTCGCCAAATTGTATTAGTCATCCCAGTTTCAATAAAATTCTGATTTAATGAAAGCAAAATATATCCACATACTAATATATATTACACTAATACTAATATATATTACATGGTATTGCATCTTTCTCATAATGAAAAGCTACAGTGATTGATTTTTTTTTACTTCTTATTGGAAATGTTGCATCGTATCAAGCGGTCGAGATGGGTTAGGACAAGAATCCTGGTAATATACATTTCATTCTCTTGTTTGCTTGTGTTAAAACTAACATTCCATATCTTCTTCATATACTGTCAGATACGACCCTTTATCAAACGAATGGCACCAAGCACCACCTTTGAGTCAGCCAAGGGACTGTGTGGCAGTTTGTGTGGCAAGCTGTAAAAGGACTTTTCACAATAAAAGACTTTTTGATTCGACGTCAGCTAATGCAAGACCGCATACATAAAAACGTTCTTTTAAACCTGGCTTCAGGTACATTCAAAGATAATTGGTGTGTTTTATCTGACGTTTGTTCCTCACAAACGAAGAACGCCTTGAGTTACGGTCTCAGTGGTGATGGGAGAGTCAAGTGGTACACATGATCGAAGTGCAGGTGTAATAACATTAAGTGAAAAATACATGGCTCAGAGGAGCTGAGAGAACCACAGACGCAAAAGAAAGAGAAAATGGATTAATTTTAACAGAGAACAGCGTAATGAATTGAAAGTCAGTGTGTAAACGCAATGGTTATTCTAACCTATACTGTTAGGAAACAGTCATCTCGGTACTCGTTTCGTACGAAGCGACTCAATAACTTCTGATACTGTATGTGGCGCGATCGTACTAAAAATATATCCAATTTACCGTAACATAAATTCAAGCAATTTGACTCGAGGTAAAACAAGAAAATGAAAGAGAAAAAGTCTTTCCTCCCTAAAGTCTTCTTTTTGTTTGTTCGTGTAGTACAGAGTATTTTCCAATTGTAGATTTTATAAATTGGGTTTTGTGACTTGTGTCGAGTAAAGACAGATAGTGTGCATAACGTTGACTACAGTTCCGTAGTTTCAGAAATGTTATGACGATTATGATTTATCTTACGTCGAACAATATTGTAGAAAGATTATTACAGGGGAGAAAGTGACGTCGTTTTAGAGCCATGAGAAGTTTTCTGAATCAATTTGAGGAAAGTTGCTTTCAAGCTTTTCTCTCTTTTCGGGAAAGGAATTGATAACTATCAATCATCAAAAATGTATGTTGTGAATTGCATTGTAGGAAAACAATACTAGCTTTATATTTAAACGACTTCGATGAAAAACAATTGAATGAAGACGTGCAGGAAGGACCAGATTCTGCCTTAATTAATAAGAATCTTTTTCTGTAGAGAGAATGGAGATTTATGCTCATCCATTATAGACCTCACGCAGTGTGTCTCAAGAAGAATTGCTTCGTGACAGACGTTAACCTAATTTATGTTTAGGATTACAGACAGGACAAATCAATAGAAGATTGTAATAAGTAGCAGAATGAATAATACCGTTTAAATAGGTTGTAGATAGATAGTGCACATTCGTTTGAAAAGAACCCTATTGAACAAGTTTCATTGAAACGCAAAATTATTGTTAGATATTTATCCATGAAATACAGATTTATTTTATGATATTGTACTGAAATTGTTTGTTTTACCTCACACAACGAGAGATTTATTGAATGTAGCTACCTGACTAAACACCTCACCTACACCCATAAGATGTTAGCTAAATAGGATAACATATCATGTGCACAGGTGTTGACGCATGACACAATCGATCTCAAGGCATATCAGCCTGATGGGATCTCCGGTAAGCGGTAGAGTTTAGGTGGCTATTTGTGTCGAGGTTTAATTCTGACGTAAACGGCCTCTGATAGATGTCCACTCCGCTTGAAGGTTGGAGTTTTAACAGACAACTTCCAGACGGTTTGTCGCTGTCCATGCGTGCAATATCTACTGATAATGTATGCGAACTAACAAAAAGGATCGCCGAAAAAATGTTACATTTCTCTCTAAGTCAGCTCGTTTACATTCAATGCGCCCCCAACCAGAGAGAGTAGTTGTTTCCATTTTTAGCATTTGAAAATCCCTTTTCCAGTCTGTTTGCGGTCAATTTACTTCAGAGGGGTTGGAAACAGAGGTTTGCCAGTCTAGCGTTGACAAAAATAGTGGTGGAATGAGCAATTTAACACTTTTTCTTTAGGTGGAGGGGGGATGTTATTCACACCAATGACAATGTAGAATAATACGCACAATTCTAATCGGGAGTCTTAAGAACACCTTTTAAAATACTTGCAAAATGTGCGCACTAAATACTTAGTTATGGGTCAGTTAGGAATAAATCAGGTTTTTGAATTTCGAAAGTGATCTAAACCTCGATTTCAGCCCCTTACCTCAACCCATACAAATGATTATGACGAAGGCATGACTAAGGATAATTTTAATCAAATCTGTCAGATGTAGGTAGAAACGGATGCGTTTTAAGATTGCAAACTGATAACTGAAATTTAAGATACCCGGGAACACGACCTCGAGGAGTGACACTTGGCAATTGGGAGCCGCTTTTTCCTGTTTTCACTTTCAGTTGTAGACTGTACACTCACGCGAGTTGTTGATTCTTAAATTTATTTTGATTCTGAAAATTACTTTTCACGCGTATGCTAATACTATTACTGCTATTATGTTTATTTCATTAATAATGAAAAAGAAAGAGGAAAATGATCTTTAAAAGCTCTTGAGACGTTGCCTAGAGAAGACATTAGTAATTAATATCTTATAATATGGTATACTACACTAACTAAAAGAACACAATTACGTTGGATTTCAAAGACACTGTAGAAAACTTTACTATGTTTGTAGATTTAGAGCAATTTTCAATAGATTGTGGAAACTCCTTAACCAAAGTAATCACAACAGCTAACCATAGCAAGAAAAATATTACAAGGAGCCAATGAGAGGTCGAAGTAAAAAGAAGCTAACTGTCTAAAGTACTGGAAAACGCCTGGGATCAAGTTAGTTTGAATCCGATTGGTTGAGAAAGTAGTGCGAGTTCTCTGGATCAATCACTTAACGAAGTAAAGTAACACCAAAGCAGTCCTGGATGATTTTTGACACTCAATTGGAAATTTCTATATTAGAAAATTACATATTTACACCCAGCTACCGAAAGATCCTCACACTACTCGAGCACCCGAGCAAAATTGGAATAAAGAAAAAAAACAAATGGAAAAAGACAAATAATGTATAAATTTAATTAAAACAAAAAATTGAAATAAGGAAAGCGATCTGTCAGAAATAGGCACAACTTATGAAAGGGATGTTCATTCCTGCAATAAATGTTTCCGTTTCAAGTGATGGCAGTAAAATAACTCTTTAGCTGTGTAATCGTTTCTGATCGTCTTCATGGACTGCACGGAGAAGACTGGCACACCTCCTCAAAGTTTCCTGTTACCTCTGCATTCAGTTTTGTGTTTCTTCCAGTGCTCTTTCTGGCATGTTTTACCACAATAGAGCACATTTTTACATCCAAGGCACCTTTTTAAATTCCCGCTCTTTGAATGGTAAAAGGCGCACTCTTGATCCATATGGGAAGCTAAACCCTGAAATGGGTCGAGGAAGCCTGCAGAATGTTCAGAAGAAACGGATCTGCCTTCTAACGAAGAGGATTCATCCATATGGCCAGGTTCAGCAGAACTAAGTAGAGGACCTTCCATAGCAAGGGCTGCTATAAAAAAAAAAAAAAAATTACAATCTATATTCTTTTTGTCTAAACCAAAGTATAGATGCGGTACTAAAGAAGATATGAAATCACTCATTGAGTAATATTGGACGAATCAATTTTGAGGTGAGTGCGCTCATCACGACTTTTCTCCGGCTATCCTGACACTTTTGACACGCGCGTTAGCTGCAATCCACTTGTATCTAAATCAGTCCTCATATCTTAGGGTCGCTGTGTCACTTAACAATAAATCCTCAAAATATTTATTTTCCTTCCTTAACCTCTGAATATGTTGAGAGCCGATTAGAAAAACCTGGAAAAAAAAAAAAAAAACAGGTGTGCACACTGTTTTGAGTACCCGCAATGTCGAGTAAAATTGTACCGATACCCAGAGTCTTTTGCGTGAAAAGTTGTTGAATGTACTCAACACATTGTAACGAGAGTCGGATTCTCTCACTAGGTAACTTACCAGCCATACTTTTGATGCTTTCTCGTGGAAACAACAGGGATATGTAAGAATTCTTCCACACAGCATAGCCACCATCTTGAGGAACTCGGGCTGCATTTGTGTACATCATTTTACGGAATAAAACCTTCTCCTGTTAAAATAACGAGGCATGACATAATCCAATTCATAATTTCAACTAAGAAAAACTGTACCGATGTGTAAGAAGGACGACGTATAACCTTAATTTCAATTTCTTTTTAAATTTAATACTATTATAATATTCTATATCAATATCTTTATCATCATCGTCCTTCTTATCTTATTCTTTATGGTTATCATTACCATTCTCGTTACAATTACTATTATCAGTATTTTTACTATCATTATTAGCGTCATTTTTATCATTATTTTCAATATGAGTGTACCCATCTATTTGAGTTCGAAACAATAACTGGCCACGTTCTTCCTTTTTTGCCCTTACAAATATAATGGAAGCGACAGCAGAAGACAGGAGCCATACTATACCTCACAAAAATTGTTTCGTCAACATCAATTACCTCTTACCTCTTGGCCAGCTACCAGTCTGTTGACTTTGTGAAGGAAAATTCGGTTGAAGTATTCTGCCAATAGTTGAGTATTTCCCGGATTCTTGCGAATCAGGTCCGCAAACCGCTGACAATCACAGAAAAAAACCTTAGCCAAAGGTAAATTCTTCCACTTGAACAGTTTTTCCACTTTGATAACGAAACCTTTCTTCTTAAGCATGTCCTCCGCTGAGTCATATGGTTCTTCGATGATTCCTCGTTCGTCAACATAATGTACTTTGGCAATCTTTGACGTTAAACGGAAACTTTCTATCATTACAATTATATCAAATTAGCCCACATATAATCAGAGCAATTGTTCCCCAGAATATACAATATGTGACAGAATCCCCTTTATATCGGCTTAGAATTAAGTCAGTGTTGTAATACCAAAACCAACGTACTCACAAAGACCAATCAGAGGAAAGGAAATACCCTTCAGAACCTCTGAGAACTTAAATTAAAACCAAGTGAAGTGCCCAAAGTGCAAGAAAACTCGGGCAAACAAGTCGCAATAGGTTTTCGTTTTGCATCTGATTCGTTAGGAGAATAGCCCAAGTTTTTTGGACCAATTACTGAGCAAAGCTAAGCAAAACCAATGCAATCTCCGGTTACGATTTTAAGCTCTTGGTTGCTTTATAGTAATTCGCTTGGTCCAATATGCTACTGAAGGAAGACGTGAACCACTTTCTGATTACTAAGTGTATGCATTGGAAATGCACGTGAAAAAATGTGTTCCTGCAGGCATACCTCAGGCTCCTTCACATGATGATGTATAATGTCTGCAATGGATTCCCTGAGGTCAAAAAACGGCGGGCCACCATCTCTTCGTAATTTCAGTTCCAGATCAAGCTCAGTGCGAAACATTTTGCCAAGCATTGTAGAACAGCTATTACAATAAAAAAATTAATACATCAAAACGTAACATTGTTATAAATGACCTGAAGCTTTAGAGGGAATTTAAAGGAGGACAGCGCCTACAGTTAACTTACATACATCTTTTCTTTAATACCAGGTAAAGGTATTATCACCAATGCAAACCTGTCCTGCAGAAGGATTAATGTTTGCCTCCAGCTCATGATTTACAGACTTTTTCAGTCTTCTCTCACCGTCTTGCTTAGGTTATTACGGCGGTAAACCGATAAAAGAGTGCGGTCTATTGCTTAAAGATCCAACTCATTGATTTTATCCCTCCCTTAAATATTGTCCAGAATCACTAGAAGCATAGTACTTCTTGGTTATATTTCAGTTTTGTTCTCTTATGAAAAATCCTGGCTGATCCCATTTTGTACATACCCTATATCAGTAAGTTGACTATCCCACCCTTGCATAGCATGGAGAGGCAATGGAGCTAAGTTTCGTATTACAAGTTCTCCCACTGTTCCATCGCTTCGCTTAGAAATGTTGCAAAATACTTTCCCGACTTTGCCTGAAATTTGGAACTTGGATGAGTTGATGTCGATAGAGCATGAAAAATACATGCTGAGTGGGTCACTGTAAAAAAAATAAAAAAAATAAAAAAACAACAAGATAAATAGAGAAAAATGCATGAGCGTGCATAGAGAAATTCAGCTCAGCTCGATATCTCACTTGCAAGCTATCGAGTTGAACACGAGAAGAGGAATTCCATATCTACAAGCAGCCATGCATTATTTTTTTATCATGCAAACACAATAGCCCTTTCGTAACAAGAAAATCGAGTGTATATATAAATTAAAAAAGAATAAGATCGATAATCTCCAAAAAAAGTCGCTAAGGCCCAAGATGGAAAAATGCGTCAAATCACTACAAAAAACAAACAAATAAATAACAAAAAAACAAACAAACAAACAAGCAAACAAACAAAAAAACAATGGGCGTAACTTTCAACCCAAAAAATTTCTCAGTAAGTCACTTTTTCCTGACCGACAGAAGATATATTTTCAGGAACTGTGGCAAATCTTTCAGTTGTGGATTTTCGAGCTCCGACGCGAGAAATGCCACTATCAAGGCCACTGAATACGTAACTTTCGATTTTTATTTTTGTATTTTGGTTCTCTTCCCCTTGTAGGAAATTTTGAACGTCACAGTCAGTAAAAAATACGAATTTTTCAGTGTTTTAGCTGCCAAAATTCGAGAAAATTTCGACAAACTACCTTGGATTGAGAGTGGTGAAGACTTGATAAAGTGGCGCGAAAGGCGAGTGATGTCGCAGCAGCTGATTGGCGATATCACATACGCACAAAATGTTCGTATTTTTTCACGTGTGTTATTACAGCTTTTCTCAGGGCTTGAAATCCTCGTAAAACACCGCAGTTTCTATGATAACTAAATTTTTGACCTTGAGGGCAAACTTATAAATGCTGATTGGCTGATACAGGGGGATCAATTTCGGTAATTGCCCAGGCAAATTTAATTAAAATTGACTTGAATTTGCCTGAAAGTATAATGATTTCATTAATGGTGAATATATATTTTTTTAGCAGGGCAAGTTTCTTTGCTTGAGTGATGTTGTACAAATATAAAATTTTATTCAGCTGAATTGGGCGTCTTTTAGTTCATTGACGCTGACAGGACACTGAAATGGCTTGGTACGAAATTTCACAATAACGTGCGTTAATAAAAGAATCTTAATTTCTTTTAGTTAACGATACATACACACCCCTGCATTTGTATTTGACTTTGCAATTTGAAAATGAATTTTTCACATTCCAAACTCTCCGTCTTTCGACATCTGTGCATAGCTCGTGACTCGTGACGAGAAGATCATTTAGAGCATTTTTTGAAATCAATAATTTAGAGTTATCAGTAAATCTTTTTTAATCAATAAAAAGCTTTTAAGCTTTTAAGCTTAAAAGCTATTCAGTAAAAAATTTTCCGAATCTCATAACACCGCAACATACTCATAACATAGTGGTGCTTGATGATCACTGCTGAAGTTAGTGCTACCCACCCTGTAGCCCCCTCGAAGTCTATTTGGACTACCGTTGGAGACTCATCTGGTTGGCTGACCTTCATTGCCTTCGCCTTGCAGATGGCGAAGTCTAGTATCTCAAGTTCAGCAGAATAAGAATGTATGCTCTCTTCCACTTTTATTACC